ACTTAGCAGAATCGTTTTCATTTGTCTGTGACCACAAAGAACTCTAGAATCTATAAGATCTATATTATTTTATCCATTTGCAAGCCATCTAGCAATACTAACCCTACTAATTGATTCAACTCACATTTTAACAAAGATGGTGGTGGATTAGGACAGGTAATTGTTAGCACGATGGTAAGACCCAAATCTGTGAATTTGGACCAAATATTTGAGAAATTAATTACCACAAGCCCTTTAAATGGATATGCCCTTTATCCCAATGAGGTCATTTCAAAATAGCATCACTAAGTACACAATCGATCACTAAGCCCCCATTTAGCATTGTAGAAATATTGTTATTCTTGTTGTCATTTACAGCACCCTTTGTCTAATACTAACTGCCTTTTATGGCATCCTTTTATCTAACATCATTTGTAGTGAAACCATTTATTGCGTCAACAACTGCAGTAACTCTTGACTCATTTCCATTCCATGTTTATTAAGTTCCCACTTTGTGCACTGTGACTTGTATAGTCATCCTTGACTTTTTACTTTGCTCATCACCTCCCCCTGTAAACAGTTATCAAACATTGTTCATTTGATCTCCACAGTATGTCTCAGCTCTCACCCTTTCTTCCCACTCACGTTGTCACCACTCAACCCCAAAGTGGCTTCTCTACCTCCTCTTTTTCTCATCTCCAGTCCCTCTATCACACAGCCACAGACACAATAGTTCTAAGGACGGATCCAACTATGTCACTTCCCCGTCAAGAATCTTCAGTTGTTCCTATTGTCTCTGGGATAAAATACAAACCCTTCTGACCTTTCAAGCCCCATAAAATCTGACTCCAATTTATCTTTCCAGACCAATTTCACATTATTCCCCCTTACACACTCTGTGTCCCAGTCTAACTGTCTCTTTTTCAGTTCCTTCTGGTCAATATTCCATCAGCCACCTCTGGGCCTTTATTAAAGTCCCTTCATGCATGGACTTCTCTTCCTTTTCACTACTGCCCCTTAGAATTCCTAGCTCCCCTAAAGTTTCAGCTCGGGGGCCGCCTTCTACACAAGACCCATCCTGACCCTCCAGGTGTTTGTCCCTTCTCACCCACCACTATCATCCCAAAAAATGATTTTACTTACTTTACATCACCTGTGTGAATGCTGCTCACCCCTGGTAGAACATAAGCTTTATTTTGTTTTGGTTTGGTTTTTGTAATTAGCATTGTTACCTAATAAGTATTTATTACATGTCCCTTGAATGAATTAATTAATGATGATGATTGAATATAAAGAAGTGTGCTACAGTTACCCATTCCACATCATGTGGGTTAGGGGGCACAGCACCCCCATAATCTAGAAAATCCGCTAAAATTTTTTGGCCCTCCCCTTATACCAGAGAAGAAGTCTGAATTTTTTCTTTTTCTTTTATGGGATGTTTATCTTATTCTAAAATTTGGGCTAAGTATTTAAGTATACAGGCTCTGTGTTGTCTACTGGCCTTCAAGTGCTATCTGCAGCTTCCACAAAACTCCCCCAAAATTCCCATTTAATTTCTTATGCAGACTGCAATATATCAAAACCACAGTGAGGAAAGCTGCAATGTGGACGGGATAACTGTAGTGACAAAGGAAAACAAAAAAAGAAGCAAACCAACCCTGCCTTCAAGAAACTTACATTCTGCTGGTGGACACAATATGAAATTAGATTAGAAGGTCAGGTGACAACTAAACAATGGAGGACTTTAGACATCCGGCTGAGGATTTATTGTTCTCTAGAGGCCAGTAGGCGCCACTGAAAGCTATTGAACAGTTGCACTCAGATCTGTGTTTTATGAATATGGGCCACCCAGCTGGCAGCTCTGGGGAGGACAGGCTGGAGAAGGCCATGCTCAAAACAAGACTAGTTAGGGACCCATTGCACGGTTCCAGTCATCAAAGGATGAGGGAGGGCCCGAACTGGGGGAAAGCTGTGTGGGTAGAGAGAAGGGTTGGATGTGAGCAGCTGTTAATCTCAACTCAATTCATGTTGCTAATCTCTATAATAAAGATAATAATAGCTCCTATTTATAGTGCTACTTTAAGGTTTTTCAAAGCACTTGACACATTATATCACTTGATTCTCACAACAGCCCTGCTGTAAAGAAATGTTTCCCAGCCCCCCTTGGTGATAGTGCCTTTCCCCTGCGATGCCTAATTTATCCTGGATGTATTTTGTTTGTACGTTTATTTGCATGCATGTTTACGGCTTCGAACTCCCCGAGTGTGGGGACTGGTTTTTGACCTTGCCTGTATCCCCAGTGCTGATCACAGTCCCTGGCACATAAGTGTTGTTCAGTTGTGTCCGACTTTTTGTGATTCATTTGGAGTTTTCTTGGCAAAGATACTGGGGTGGTTTTCCATTTCCTTCTCCTGCTCATTTTAAGATGAGGAAACTGAGGCAAACAGACTTAAGTGACTGGACCAGGGTCACATAGCTAGTAAGCGTCTGAAACCAGATTTGAACTCAGGTGTTCCTGACTCCAGGCCTGGTGCTATCCACTGCACCACCTAGATGCCCCCTGGCACATAGCAGGTGCTTAGTAAGTCCTTTTTGACTGAACAAATGTGAGGCAGGTGCCATTATTTTCTCCCTTTTGTAGTTGAAGAAATAGACTGTTAATTGCCCAGGGTCACACATCTAGATTGTCAATACATATTAGTTTAAAGAACAAAGTAAACAGTTGACACTAGACCAATCCATATTGCCACCAGCTTAGGAATGCATTTCTGATCCCCTACCCCACCTCACCAGCCTGCCAAATAGTCTCTCTTGCATTATTTTAAGGGTTTCTGAAATCCCAATCCCTCTGTGGGGTCTTTGTGAACTGATCCTCAAAAAAATGGGTAGCACCTCATTATTTCCTAGCCCTACCCCCGCAATGTGGTCACCAAACTCATAGAATAATAAATCTGCTAAAAATGGAATAGAAGTTAAACATCATTGAGCCCAGCCTCCTTATTTTATAATAAATGAAGAATATAAGGCTTAAGGAGAGGCAAAAAGATGTCAGTGAATGCAAGAGAGAGCCTGGCAAGTTAAATAATTTTTCCCTACTCAACAAGCCAGTGGCAGAATCAGGATAAAAACCTGGGACTACTTGGTAATTATGGCCATTCTCTGTCCTATTGTGTGCTTGCCCTTTTTCTGTAGCCTTGAAATAAGCTTAACGTGGGCCTACGGGTGATTTTTGGAAAGGCAAGGTAAGGAATGTGGCTTCACAGAGCAGCATATTGGCATTGGTTTCTTTTACAGCATTGGCATTGCTAGCTAGGCACTGTGGCATAGCAGGTAGAGAGTCGGGAAGACGTGGGTTAGATCCCCACCCCTTACACTTACTGGCCCTATGACCCTGGGCAAGTCACTTAATGTCTCAGTGCCCTGGAGAACTCTCTAAGGGGAAGGGAACAAGCATTTCTTAAGCACCCACTATGTACTAGGCACTATGCTAAGTGCTTTCCAAATATCTCATTTGATCTGTTATCAAGCAAGTGTCAATCTGCCCTGCTAGAATATGTTCTAACAGAAGTTCTATTTACAAATAAATCACAGGCCAATCTTTTTTTTTCCTTAAAGTAATTATTGTATCTATTGTTCTCTTGATTCTACTCTCTTTGCTTTGCTTTCAGGTGTTTACTGAGAAAAAAACACACTCCTCTAAATTTTTCTTACTTAAAATCTTATGGCACCCGACTAGAGTCTCTGTAAAAATTTGGTTAGCACTAAGATTTTTGGTAAAAGCTTACATTTACTAAGTTTTTAATGGAAAACATTAGTTGACATTTAAATTATACTTTAAGTTTGCAAAGCATTTTTATAAATATTATCTTATTTGACTATAACCTGTATTATAGATAGATACTATAAGAATTTTACAGGTGAGGAAACTGAGGGTCAGAATAGAGAAGTTCATCAGCAGGATTTGAACTCCAGCCTTCATGACTCCAAGTCCAATAATTTATCTACTACATCTGCTAAGAATATTTTGACTCAGAGTCATATTAATTTAATAGTGTTGAAAATTATACGGAAGATAAAAATCTCTATGATTCTCCTCTGAGAATAACTAGATCTCTTTAGATAGAAGTGTTTTTTTATTACAACAAAAATTATTTGTCTTACAAATATATGGTCACCTATCCCATTTTCTTGGCAAACCAATATTTAGCAAATAAATAACTAGTGGGTTGTTAGGTGGATTTTGCCATGTCTTTGGCATTTATATCCAAGGAAATTGAATTACAAAGTGATCCATCACTTTGTTTATTTATATTTGAATCTTTCCCCATTCACCTTCCAATTTCTCACTGATAGTTTCCTTGCTGTTTTTGCCTTCCTTTCCATCCTCATCTTTTTATCTGTATGATCTGGTCCCAATTGCTTCAATTAGCTTCTTTTCTGCATTCTCTTCAGAAATTTTTTGATGGAGTTTGACACATTTTGATCCCATTTTGGGGGAGGGGGAGGGGGATTAGAAAAACTGAATTACCTTTATGTACTGTATATTCTATATGCCTATAAATTTCTAGGAAAAATTGACTTTTTTTTCATTCAATTTAGTTATCCCCAATTCAGATCTTCCCTTACTTACTAGTCAGTAAACATGCTGTTGAAGTGTGTTGGCTTAGAGTTTAGGGTATTGGGAGTGGGGGAAGAGGAAATTATCGTCAATAAAATTTGGAGTTCTTCTTATAGACACCACCTCAACTAAGAAGATTGGGATATCATTCCTCCCTGGGTCTCAACCAACCAGGTAGTGCAGCTGCATAGTTCTCTAGCACCTTGTTATGGTCAGCTCCTGATTCTTACCATAGATTTGGAGCTGAAAGAGATCTTCGCAATGATCTTGTCCAACCTCTTCCTTTTTAAGAAATAAGTTTACTCTACAGGGCCACACCCTGGTCTGTCTGCATCGGCTCCACTTCACTCCCTCCTCTCATCTCCAGCACTGGGTGGGGGAGGGAGGGCATGATGGACAAAGCATGACAAAAGTCACATGCCAAGAAGTTCTCAGCCTATACCACAGGATTTTCAGGCTTGCAAGGAGGTGGCATGCAGCATCAGAGGAGATGGAGGACACCATCAGAGAAAAGCAGTACATTATAAAGGAAGCCAGCATGTTGTTCCAGAAGAACAAAAATCTCACGGATTCAGAACTAATTAAACAGTGTATAGACGAATGCACAGCAAGAATTGAAATGTTATTGCATTATCAGATCCCATATCAAAGGTCAATAAGTCTCAATCCAATCTCCAAATGTTGGTACTAATCCAGTATATCACTCAAACTTGATTCACCTCCCTCCAATAGCCCTCACTCCCCTACAAAGTCATGGACTTCAAACTCAGGAGAAGCTAAGGACACTTTCCAAATCATTATATCTCAAGTCTTACAATGAAGTTTCTTAATCCAAGAAATAGGTGGTATGAACTGTGAGCCAGGAAGAGCCTGAGCACAAACTAGAGGATAATTTTTTTTCTCCTTGACTTAAGTCTAGTCAGAGAAAGAAAGGATGCAGAACATAGTCTTTGCTATAATTTCTCTTAAACACTCAAAGATTTGGGTCCTTAATCTCATAACACTAATTTATATGTCCTTGCATTTGTCAGTACTAGTGTGTTGCTACTAGATGGTAATATGCTAACTCCCAAAGATCATTCCTAATCTTGATCTTAGTAACATCTTAGATCAAAGTCTAAACATAGTAAGGATTGAATTGAAATTTAAATTCTAAAAATTAAAATTTTTGTGGAAATAATGTAGCTGAGTAGAGACATGGCAATACCCGTTAGCAGCTTCTTTGGAAGTTCTTAAAATTACTGTGACAATCAGATACTAGCCTCAAACTCATAAATCTCTGTGGACTTTATTTTGTTTTGTGTTTGTTATCCATATACTTAAGATAAGACCTTTTGTGTTTTAGTTGTTCTACTGGTATCCTTTTTTGCCTGTCTTAATTCAAAGATATACTTTTCATTAATATTCAAGTAGGCAAGTTTTTCCTTTACCATGCTAGCAATATTTGTCATATATATTCTAGTCCCCTCACCCCCTTAATTGCTAGTGGAAGATATCATAGTATCTCAGGAAAATTTTAAGGAGGAGGGAAATATTCTGATTTTTCAGGAACTGATGCAGTGTATTTAATTCTGTCCATTAAATGTATGCAATATACAAACAAATTCTGAAACATGTGACTTATAATTCCAGCATCAAAGCCTCACTACAAACTCATACTACAATAGGTAAAAGTCATCACTATTTCTAATTGACACCAAAATTGGAATCTCACAAACAAAAGAATATGCTGTGTAAATTGCAAGGTGAGGATGATTTTAGAATCATGTAGAAATAAAAAAGGAAAATCAAGATCAAAAAGAGAAAGGACTGGGCCTTTGTGATAAGGCAAGGGAAGCCAAGCCATTGACAGTCACTGGGCAGCAGTGTTTGCTTTTGTGTTCAAAGATGATTAAAATCTTCAAGAAAAATTGTTCATAAAAATAAGTTGACTAAATTTCATATATATATATACACATATTTTAATCTATTCCTCCTACTACCCTCAGTGAACAAAAAAAAAAGGAGAAGAAAAAAAAAGAAAAAGAAAACTTTCATCATAAGCAACCATAGTCCAACAAACCAATTTCCCCACTGGTCATGCCCCAAACTATCTCTCTCTCTCTCTACATGTTGAGTTCATCACCTTTCTACGAGGAAGAAAGTAATACCATGTTTTCATCTTTAGCGTTCTAGGCTTGTGGTTTATCATTGCATTGATCAGAGTTTTAAAAAATTTTGAGACTTTCCCTTGATGAAACAGCCAGCATGTGTCAGAAACAGAATGTGAACCCAGGATTTTGTGAATCCAATCCATGTGCCACTGCCACCCCCATCTACTATATCATGCATCTTCTCTTATCCCTGAATAGTAATGATGACCATTCCTGTGTTCTGTGTTTGAAGGAGTCTACTGGTTTACCCAGAGTGGGGTTGAGTAGACTATGAATTATATGTGTAGATCATAGATTATATGTGTAGATCAATAGATTACTCATTGCCCTGATGAATTGACAAGCATAGTCTTTGAGATTAAAAACATATTTGTCACCAAAATCTTATACCACATACCAAAATAAAGTCAAAATGGGTACATGATTTAGATATAAAGGCTGATACTATAAACAAACTGGGAGGTCAAGGAATAGTTTACCTATCAGATTCATGGAGAACAGAAGAATTTATGACCAAACAAGAGATAGACAACATCATGAAATGCAAAATAGATAATTTTGATTACATTAAATTGAAAAGTTTTTGCACAAACAAAGCCAATGCAACCAAGATTAGGAGGGAAGCAGAAAACTGGGAAAGAATTTTTACAACCAGTATCTCTGATAAGGGCCTTATTTCTAAAATATAGAGAGAACTGAATCAAATTTATAAGAATACAAGTTATTCTCCAATTGATAAATGGTCAAAGGATATGAACAGGCAGTTTTCAGATGAAGAATTTAAAGCTATCTATAGTCATATGAAAAAATAATCTAAATCACTAGTGATTAGAGAAATGCAAATCAAAACAACTCTGAGGTACCACATCATACCTATCAGATTGGGTAACATGACAAATCAGGAAAATGATAAATGTTGGAGAAGATGTGAGAAAATTGGAACATTAATGCATTGTTGGTGGAGTTGTGAACTGATCCAACCATTTTGGAGAGCAATTTGGAACTATACCCAAAGGGCTATAAAAATGTGCATATCCTTTGACCCAGTAATATCACTTCTAGGGCTGTATCCCAAAGAGATCATACAAATGGGAAAAGGACCCACATGTACAAAAATATTTATAGCAGCTCTTTTTGTGGTGGCAAAGAATTAGAAATTGAAGGAATGCCCATCCACTGGGTAATGGCTGAACAAGTTGTGGTATATGAATGTAATGAAATACTATTATGCTGTAAGAAATGATGAGCAAACAGACTTCAGAAAAACCTGGAAACACTTTTATAGACTGATGCGGAATGAAGTGAGCAGAACCAGGAGAACATTGTACACAGTAACAGCCACATTGTGCAATGACTAACTTTGATAGACTTAGTTCTTTTCAGCAATGCAAGGTTCTAAGACCTGTCCAAAGGTCTCATGATGGAAAAATGCTATCCACATCCAGAGAAACAACTATGGAGTCTGAATGCAGATCGAAGCATACTATTTGCTCTCCTTTTCCTTTGTTGTTTTGTTTTGTTTCTTCTTTCTTGTGGTTCCTCCTATTGGTTCTAATTCTTCTTTTCAATATGACTAATGTGAAAATATGTTTAATAGGAATGTATATCTAGAGCCTATATCAGATTGCACACCATCTTGGGGAGGGAAGTAGGGAGGGAGGGGGAGAAAGTTTAAAACTCAAAAGCTTATGGAAGTGAGTGTTGAAAACTAAAAATAAATTAATTAAAAAACATATTTGTCAAAAAACCCCAAAACAAAACAGGAGAAGAACTTGTCATAATCTGCATTACTTTTCAGTAGGGAGCTGAAGCAGTTGACTCTGCTTGGACTCCCACTGGCCCAACCTCCATCTCCTAGCCAAAGTCAGCGGTCCTCTCTCTTCCTCCTCCTGCTCCACAGCAGAGACCCCAGCTGGCCAAAGGTGCTCCTGGTGAAGTGCCTGCCTTCTCTGTCTTCAGGCCCTCTTCCAGCTGGGCCTGCCTGTTTCCTCACTATGACAACTAACTCCCACCCAAACCAGTTAAAGGAGGGATGGGAATTTTTTGACTGTTTACAGATCTGACACAAAAACTTGGTACTTTGAAAGAAGTGCTGGGTTTTTAGTCTGAGAACCTGGGCCTAATTCCTGGGTCTGATGACACTTGTATGACCTCAAGCATGTCTCTTAATCTCCCTAAGTCTCAGTTTCCTTACCTGTAAAAAATGAGAGGGGATAGATGATGACTTCTAATGTCTCTCCTAGCTCTGAATCTATGTCACATGTGCCATTCTGTAAGTAGGCAACTGAGTGTCGACTCTTAGGTATGTCTCTTGTGTGTGTGTGTGTGTGTGTGTGTGTGTGTGTGAGAGAGAGAGAGAGAGAGAGAGAGAGAGAGAGAGAGAGAGAGTGTGTGTGTGAAAGAAAGAGAGAGACAGAGAAAGAGAGAGAAAGAGACAGAAATAGAAAGAGACAGAGAGAGAGACAGAGAGACAGAGAAAGAGGTGGGAAGGGCAGGGGAGGGGAGTGACAGACAGGGTGGGGGAGGGGGAAACATCATTATTTTTAAAAAATCATGTGTCCATGTTCTTAGTAGGTTATTATTCCTTCCAATCTCTCTCCTTCCCTTCCATCTTCTCTCTTTATTGCTTTCCTTCTCTCTCTCCTTCCTTTATATGTTTCTTTCTTTGTGCCTTTTTTCTTCCTACAAACGTTTAAATATCTGCTTTAATCCAGTCCATCTTCCCCTTAGCCACCAAAGTGATTTTCCTAAAGCGCAGGTCCACCAACCCTGCTCAACAAATCTCCAATAGCTTCCTATCATCTCCAGCAACAAATAAAAAATCCTCTGTTTAGCATTCAAAGCCCTTCCTTGCCTAACACCAGCAGCCACAGCCTTACTTTTCCAGTCTTCTTACAGGGACACCATGTTATCAAGTTATCAAACCCTTTGTGTAATTCTTCTAGGCTGGGAGGGTCTTTGGGGACAAAAGTGGTCTCTGGCTGCCACATCACATTGTGGATTCAGAAATTGGTGGCCTGATCTCTATCCAGATAAGAAATATGATAAACATGAGCAGAGGGACCATTTCACCATAAACTTTCTATCAATTTTCAATGACCTTTTTTTGGGTGAGGCAATCAGGGTTAAGTGACTTGCTCAGGGTCACACAGCTAGTAAGTGTCATGTGTCTGAGGCCGGATTTGAACTCAGGTCCTCCTGACTCCAAGGCTGGTGCTTTATCCATTGCACCACCTAGCTGCCCCTCAATGACCTTTTTAAACAGCAACACAACCAAATTTTTCTTTATAAATTAAGTTGGTGTTCCCAGAGCATATACTACTAGCAAGGCATAAATTTGCAATGTATATATTCTGCTAGGTGCTAATATATGCCTATGATATAAGCTACAATTATTTATCCTTTACCAGCTCTACGGCCTACAATCCATTTTGCACTTTTTGAAATCAACCTTTTTTTTTCTTCACTATCCCAAAAATCATCTTTAAAGAAAATGAAAGCTAATTAGTATGAAGCTTCTTTATACTCAAGAATACTTAGAGGTGTTTAAGGTGAAAAAACTGAAGCTTAATAAAAGGAATCTGGTCAAAGAAATCTGGGAAGATTTATATCAACTGATGCTTAGTGAAGTAAGCAGAGCCAGAATTATTTCTACAATGAAGATAAGAGAAAAACAA